GCCTTTCCTGACTCGGGGCCCCCGTCTGGTGTGTACATCCTTCCTTTTGTTCGTGTGTTGGCTTTGGTTTTCTTTTTCGTCATTTGGTCAGTAGAACTTGGTGCCGTCCCTTTGGGCAACGGTGGACTGCGTGTTACGTTCCATACCTGCGTTCTTCGGTGACCCTCACACTGGTGGGTTGGCCTGTCAGGGACAGCAGGACAGCAGCCCTGAGTGGACAGCCCACCCCTGGCTCCCAGGTGATCGCTCTCGGCCCACCCATGTGAAAACTACTTTAAACATTTTCTTTGCAGGTGCTGTTTTGCATTTTCTCCTGTTCAGATCTGCTTGTTCCTTCTGTGGCTGGACACCTGACATCCTCTACGAAAGGTGCCCCTTTACACACGCCCTCTGGTGGCTTAGGGTCTCCTCTCCACAAGGGCCTGGCTCCTTCCAGGTGGTGCCCGTGGGTCGTTTCTGCTCTTCTCCGTGTCACTTCACGCACATGCTTAGCGGCCTTGCTGAAGCCCCGGAGGCAGCCGCCTGTGCTGTCTTTGAGCAAAGAGGGAGCGCCAGGTCCGCAGCCTGAACGACTGCCGCCCCCATGTCCTTTAGTCTGGTCAGCACAGGCTTGCGTGGGCGCACCGGCCGCAGCCCCCACCCCGAGCGGCGGGAGTCCCAGAGCTCTGAGGACAGAAGGGTTTCCTCGCTCTTCTGGTGGCAGATCTGGCCCCAGTGGACAGCAGGCTGTGTGTCCTATATTTACCACTCGTGGGGCTGGTCACGTGTCTCCGCACAGAAGGAGGTCTGTGTCCTTTACGGGGAGCTGTTTCAGAGCCCTGCTTTTACCGCCTTTGTAAAGCCAGAATGTTTCTGAACTCCCGAAACATGTCTGCCCCCAAGGGTTTCAGGTAAGGGATGATGGATCTGTATTGTTGCTCGCTCCTGCCCACGCAGAAGCCAGGATCTGCGGAGGTGGTGGGTGGCCTCGGGGGCCTGTGCCTGTCCGCCTCCCCACGTGCCCGGCCGCTGCTGACCCCCTCTCCGTGCAGGAGCTGCCGTGGTGGAAGCCGCTTCCTGTTGGAGAAATAATGTGCGTGCATTGTTTGTGTTTGTTTGTCTTAAAGGAAAATAAAAACCTGTACGGAGCAGAAAGTAAGGCCAGGCCGCGTTGCTTAGACAGTCGTCTTTTGGGTCCTTTCCCCTTAGTCGTGACCGCGTCCTGAGCTCTCGCTGCTAGGGTGACCCGAGACGCTGCACACGGAGCTCCCTGAGCGCGGCCACCAGTTCCGCTCAAGGGCTCCCCGGCTCAAAGTGGAGGCCCTCGTCCTTGTGCACACTGTCAGGATGTGAGCCCAGGCCTTCCCCCCAGTCCCATCTCGTAAAGCCATCGGAGTCCAGTGTGCCCCGCGTGTGTTTCCCGGAGGACGCTCTGAGGCCGGCGTGCCAGCCTGGCTTTGCTGAGGCCTGCAGACCCCGGAGAGCCTCAGCCATCCCCCGGGTTCCATGCTCGGGCTGTGTCAGCCTGTCTGGGTGCGGGTCGCGGAGAGCCTCAGGAGCGCTGTCCCGTGTGTACATCCACCAGTTTGCTCTGCCCGACTGCTGGGGCCCCTCCCTGTCCACTCTCTGCTGTCCCTGCCTGCAGCCACGCGGTCAGGTGGTCTGAGAGAACCCGCGTGCGCGGCGCGCTCGCCGGGCCAGCCGCATGCAGCAGAGCGGTGCGACACTGACTGTAGAGGTCCCGTTTCTTCAGCAGCGCCTGCATGAAACTCTGCAAGGTTTAACGACTTCTTTTAATTTCTCATCACTTGAAAAGCCATCCTAAGTGGTTCGTTGAAAATTTCAGGATATTACATTGCCTAGTGATTTATTGATTGTTCTCGTTTGTTTTTTAATTGAAGGGGAGCCCATAAACCCAGCCTAGCACCAGGGACAGGCGTCCGTCTCCATTCTGGCGGGTGTGGGGGCTGGCGGGGGGCGGCAGCCAGCAGGGATCTCCGGGGGACGTCGTGTCGTGAGTGCTCTGCCGTGCATTGCTAGGTCTGTCACAGAGCGTTTCCAGCAGCTGCGCAGGACTGCTCTCTGGCTCACATGGCCACTCACCAGTCTGGAGATGGGTGGCTGGTTCTCCTTCCTGTTCTGCCAAGTGTTGGAAGTCCCAGCTTTGCAGAAACATCTCCTTAAATCTCACCCGGTGCCCTTGCTGTGAGCTGACTACGGACCTGCTCTCCTCATCTCCGCTCCTGTGCCTTAATTCCCAAGTGAAGCAGAGACTCGAATGGCTTGTAATCTTTCAAAAGAGCTCGCTTCCCTAATGACCGAAGAACCTGCTTTCCGTTTGAGCCTGTGTAAACCGCCCAGGAAGGGTTGGCCTAGCAGTCGCCTCTGTGAGGACAGTCGTAAAAAGAAGACACTAAGGGCCAGAGGAGAGCGGTGCTCTGTCCCGCACGTGAAGGGTGCACGTGCCCTCTGAGACGCAAGGAAATGGTCCTGCGGTCGGGGAGTGGGGAGGCGGTGCTGGTGTGCAAAAGGGACGGGCCTCAGCTAGACGATGAGTACGTTCTGGGGACTAAAAAAGTCCTTGAATAAATTATTTAATCTTTTTCAAAGAAAAGTCATTCTGTTGCTTCTTAAGGGATATAACCTTCTAGCAGGTGTTCTTTTCACTATAAAATGTTGGGTTTTTTTAGATTTACTTACTAGAGAGTGCACACCTGTGCAGTGGGGAGGGGCGGGGGGAGGGAGGAAGAGTCCTCAAGCAGACTCCACCCTGAGCACGGACCCCCGCACGGGGCTCATCTGCCAACCCTGAGACCATGACCGGAGCCGAAACCAGCAGTTGGACACTTAACCAACTGTGCCACTCGGGTACCCCTAAAATGCTTTTGTAGTAAGTAAACATTTTCAAGGCAGAAATGATACAAATACCTAAGCTTTAAAAATAAGTCATCAGAGGGCGCCTGGGTGGCTCAGTGGGTTGGGGCCTCTGCCTTCGGCTCAGGTCATGATCCCGGGGTCCTGGGATCGAGTCCCGCATGGGGCTCTCTGCTCAGCGGGGAGCCTGCTTCCTCCTCTCTCTCTGGCTGCTTCTCATCTCCGTCTGTCAAATGAATAAATAAAATCTTAAAAAATAAATAAATAAATAAGTCATCAGAAACCCAGGGTTTGACTTCAGTATTTTTTCATTAAACAGATACTTACCATTGGCCAGGAGCCCAATGCTGTGCTTGGACGTGACATAGTCCGGCCTGGGAGAGCTCCTGTTCAGTCGGGCAGGGCCGTGGTGGCCAAGATCTGTCACAAAGGGAGCTGGGGGTAGGGAGCTGAGGGTGGAGACTCACCTGCCATCTGAAAATGGGACGAGCTGCGCGTTAACAGAAACGGAGAAGGGAGAAGGAGGCTGGGGTCCGAAAGGCCACTGCATGTGGGCAGTCAGGAGAGAGTGGGGCACGAGGCAGGAAGTGGCTCCAGACTGGGTGGAACTGGGCCGTACTTGGATGAGCGCGACGCTGCAGGAGAGGGGAGATGCTCCCACGAGTCCCACAGCCTGCCCCGTGTGACCCCCTGGGTTGGGTGGCTTGGAACAGGCTCGGACACGGGGCTCCATCTCAGACCTCCCGGCAGAAATGTCAGTGGGGTGGCTGCGTACTCGCTCTGGCCTGCAGGCGACCCCTGGGGCTGGGGGCTCAGCTGAGGGACACAGGCGGGTGTCGCTGCAGGTCATTGGGACTGAGGCCCTGGGGTACTGGCAGCTGGCCACGGCACAGAATAGTAGTCCGGATGGCGGCTGCTCTTGGGAATCCCTGAGGGCGAGACCCACCCAAGCTCCCGTGTTTTCAAAGCCCCTGCGTCATGTCAAGACTTGACAGCCAGGGTTAGGAGCTCTGGACTACAGAGAGAGGGGCCTGGGTCTGACTGACCTCCCTCTTCCCCAGCCCTAGGCTTTTAAATTAGAGGACGGAGGTGCTTATTTATTTTTTTTTTTTAAGGAGCCACTTTGAAATATACCAGAACATTTTGTTCCTTTTTTTTTTTTTTTAAGGTTTTGTTTATCTGAGTGAGAGAGAGAGAAAGAGAGCACAAGCAGGGGGAGTGGCAGGGAGAGGGAGAGGGAGAGGCAGAAGCAGACTCCCCACTGAGCAGGGAGCCTGACTCCGAACTTGATCCCAGGACCCTGGGATCATGACCTGAGCCAAAGGCAGACGCTTCACTGATGGAGCCCCTCAGGTGCCCTAGAGTGTTTAGTTTTTTTGTTTTGTTTTGTTTTTTTTGTTTAAGATTTTATTTATTTGAGTGAGAGGGAGAAACAGGCTCCCCACTGAGCTGAGAGCCTAACGTGGAATTCAGCCAGTCCAGGACCCTGAGATCATGACCCAAGCCAAAGGCAGACGCGTAACCAGTGGAGCCACCCAGGTGCCCCGACAGTGTTTAGTTTTAAGAACATAAAATATTCTGGGGCACCTGCTGACGTGGCTGGTTAAGTGTCTGACTCTTGATTTCAGCTCCGTCCGTGATCTCACTTGGGGCTCCGCACTTGCTGGGGAGTCTGCTTACGGCTCTCTGTGTCCCTCTCCCCACTGATGCGCTGTCTCTCTCTCACTCTCTTTCTCTCTAAAATAAATGAAAATAAATCTTTAAAAAAGAGCATAAATATTTTGCTCTATAAATCTTGTTGAAACGTTGGGAGTATTAAAAACCTGAAGTGGAACGTTTTCTGCCCAGCATTGCTAATGAAGGGAGCCGTGGTGAAGCCCTGCTTCGTGTCTGCCTTGCCTGTGTCCCGGGGTATTTTTACTTGGTGTTCCTCTTTGTGCCTCGGTCTCGGAGGCGAGCGTGACACAGCCCCATCGTGCCGGCTGAGGAATCTGGGTTGGGAAGATGAATTGCCGAGCGGCCAAACACCAGTCTTGAGAAAATGTCTGTTCTGGTCGGGGGAAGCCGTGCCTGTTGGCCGATGCCCCTCCCACCTCCTTTCTCTCGTTAAGGTGATTCCCTCTCAAGTCCTGTTGTCTCTATTTCAGGATGATGATCTGGAGGAGGGCGAAGTAAAGGACCCCAGTGACCGGAAGGTGAGGCCGCGCCCCACCTGCCGATTCTTCATGAAAGGTAATTGTCCAAGAGGCCTGGTGTGGCCTTGGCTTTTCCCGGGACTCTGGTAGTGGTTCAGCTCTGAAGCTGTGCGAGGCTGTTCTTGGGGCCAGACCGTGACCATTGGTGGCAGTGTTGGCATCAGTCCTTCGTGGGTCTTTGCCTCACTTGACTGACTTGGAGGGGGCCAGACTTGCCATTTTCACACTTGTGGTTCCAGGCCCACCTGTTCTAGAGAACCATAGCTCTCATGGCGACAGTATCATTCCCTTTCCCTAAGGCCAGACGTCCCAGGCACCAGTGCAGACATTTTCCCACAACTGTAAGGAAAGTTGCCACTTTTTTGCTAAATGTATTAAAGCCGAAGTACACCCTTCCCTCTGAATGGAGCGGCTCTGAGTGCAGCACGGCCCGCTCGCTCCGGGAGGGTGTACGGCGCAAGCCAGGTGGCTGGGACAGGCGGCAGAGGCGCGGAGCGGGGCAGACCCGGGAATGGCAGTGCGAACCCCGGTCCGCGAGGGTCGCCGTGCCGAGCGGCAGTAGTTGGGGCGCGGTCCTTGTAGTTCCACGCTGTCCGTGCACAGGTAGGAAGATGCTTGTGTTGGTCCCGCCTCACTCTGGCCCTGGGCACCCTCGCTCGCGGCCCCGTGATTTCACAAGGGCTTCCTGTACTTCTTTTCCAGATGTTGTGGCAGCATTGTCCACTCCTCTTGCACCAGTGTCACATTCCATGCCCTTCAGAGGCCAGGGGACAGGTACAAAGTCTACGATACTCACTCTCTGTTCCGGAGGCCAGACTTCTTTCTCCTGGATCCAGCATTCTGATGTGAAGCCAGAAGGAAGGGGGAGGCTCCGAGGGGCAGAGAGCGGTCGTGGACCGCTGTTCTTAGAGGCACTGGAGGCTCACGGGAGCCTTGCGGATGGCACGTGGAGGGGGGACAGCAGGGGACGGTGGAGTCTCACCTTCCCGAGAGGGCAGGCTCTGCCCTTGAGCGGCCCCTGGAGGGCCCTCTCCCGACACTCAGGATGACGCGGTGCAGAGGGGGCGCTGGGACCAGGGAGCCGATGCGCTCAGGACCCGGGTCAGCTCCCTCTTTGGGGCGCGCACTCCGGGCCTGTGCCATGTACACCCGGCTGCGGTTTCTGCGGAGAGGAGACTCCTTGGAGGTAGACGTGCGTGTGGTGAGCTCCGCTGTGTGGCCACGTGCGTTCTGCCCTCGGGAGAGTGGCTGCCAGTGACGCCGTGGGCAGTGTGGGCACCCTGAGAATGCAAAGTGTGTGGTATGTCTTAGGAAGTCGGTTCTTGACAGTTCTTTAAAATGTTGGTGTTTGAGGGGTTGCTTGGGTGGTTCAGTTGGTTAAGTGTCTGACTCTTGATCTCGGCTCAGGTCTCAATCTCAGAGTCATGAGTTCGAAGTGCACCTTGGGCTCCACGCTCGACATGGAGCCTGCTTTAAAAAAAGTTTCAGTGTTTGAAATGTTAACATTTCAGAAAATTTTAACTTACGCAGAGGACTTCTTTTCCATAATTATATGGGCATAAATGATGTCAGTGCACCTTTGAAATTTCTAGGTGACAGAGGAGACCAGTGCGTACGTGCTCACATAGGTGTACGTGTGGTGTGGTCAGACTGTGGCTCAGCATCCAGGCCGGCCCATCGGGACTAGCCGGGGGCTCCGCCGGCAGGAGGCAGCGCCACCCGTCCGTGCCACAGAGGCTGCAGTGCACGGGGCCACCGCACTCAGGCAATTTCCAGAGTCGAGCAGCAGCACGTGACGTTGCTGCTGGGCCTGCAGCTCAGCGTCCTCAGGACTTGCCTCGTGGGCAGGGACCGGGCACCGTCTCCGTGGACCCTATGGTCCCCAGAGCCACTTCGCAGCGGGAGGGAGGTCCCTCCAGAGTCCAGTGAAATGCCCAGCTTGGGTTTCAGAGACAAAGGCCAGCGGCACGGCTTTCTGCGGGGAAATCCGAGGCTAGCGGCAGCCGGCCTTCTCTGCAGCTCGATTGCGCAGAATTGGTAACTCGTTTCAGACTTTGCTTCTAAGTATATGTTTACCTTTCCTGCCCACACTTGTTCATTCTGCAGAGTAGTGTGATACTGTACAAAAAGAAATGGTTGATGCTCTGGGGGTTCTAGAACACATCTCTTGCTTCTTTTCTTAGTTATGCGAGGTTTTTTGGGTGAAAATGTTTTTGCTTAACCTTCAGTTTTTAAGCTTGGTATTAAATCGAGATGAGTTCGTGTAAGTTCCGTTTATTAGCAAGAGAAGTCACTTTAAAAATAATACAGAATTTGTTGTGTTAGACGAGATGCGGAGACCTGAAACCTTCACACTGGCGGGAGCGCAGAACGGTGCAGGCACCGGAGAACAGGCGGCGGCCCCAAGAGCAGGAGAGGGTAGAGCTCTCCGTGACCCAGTCACTTTTGCTTCTGGGTCTCTACCCGCGAGACAGGAAAACGTACACCCACACAAAAATCGTATGTGACTCTTCGTAAAAGCAGTGTTCAAAATAGCCAGCAGGTACAAACAACCCACGTGTCCACCAGCTCAGAAGTGGTCCCACACAGTGTGGTCTGTCGTACAGCGGGACGCCACGCCAGCCCACAGCTCAGGAAGAGCAGACCCCACTGCGCAGGCGCACCCCAGGGACACTCTGCCACTTAGAGAAGACGGACAATAAAGTGTCCCATTTGTGTGTTTCCGTCTATGCGAACCGCCCAGAATGGATCTATCGGGGCAGGAACTGGGTTAGTCATTGTCTAAGCTGCAGAACCTGGGAGGAGAGAGGGCGTGGGAGTGGACAGTGGAGGTGATGGCCAGGGAGTACTGGGCTTCCTCGCAGGGCAACGGCTGCGCACCTCCTGTGTCCGTACTGAAGCTCACTAAATTACGCTCTGTAGATGGAGGTATTTTGTGGTATGTGAAATCTATCTTAATTTGAAAATTCTTTCTAAGAAAATTTGTTAGTTACATTCCTATTAAAAGGTTTCTGCAGATTAATCATTAATTGTCCAAATGGATACATTGGTATTTGTGACCATGGACAATGAAATGTACTTAGAAATAAAAATGGAAACATTTTTTAAAAGATTTTACTAATTTGACAGAGAGAGCACCAGCAAGGGGAGCAGCTGGCAGAGAGAGGGGGAAGCCAGCTCCCCGCTGAGCAGAGAGCCCGATGTGGGGCTCGATCCCAGGACCCTGAGATCATGACCTGAGCCAAAGGCAGACAGTTAACCCGCTGAGCCCCCCAGGCGCCCCTAAATGGAAACGTTCTTAAGCACCAGTGTTTCGTTTGCGGTGTGTTTCTGCCTCTGGTGTATTTATGTTGAACCATCAAGATGTATAAAGTGTATAAAGTGCTGTGAAGGCCTAAATGACATTTTCTTTAAATTGTGGCCTACTTCGGGTTTCTGACTGAGCCAGTCGTTAATAGTGCCTGCCTGTTCTGTGGGCCAGACCTTGCCCCTGCTCCTTCCTGTTTCCCCCCGTTCTCTCCGTCCCTCCACCCCTTCTCTCCGTCCCTCCACCCCTTCTCTCTCTCTCTCTCTCTCTCTCTCTCTCTCTCACACACACACACACACACACACACACAGAATTTGGTAAAATATGCCTGAGGTGAGGTTTGCCATCTTAACTGTTTCAGAGCATACGTTCGTGTGTGTTCACTTTGTTGCCGTCACCCTGTCGTCTCTAGAACTCTTTCCCTCTTGTAAAACTGAAACTCTGTAGCCATTAACAATCACTTCCTATTCCTCCTTCCCGCAGGCCCTGGCCACCACCGTTCTTCTACCTGAATTTGTCTGCTTTAGGTGCCCAGTGTGAGTGGAAAGACACGATTCCTGTTTTTCTGTGACCGCCTTACTTCCCTCATCCTGCTGTTCTTGGGGTTCATTTGAGTTTTAGCAGGTGTCAGAGTTCTTTTCTCTTTTTTTAAGATTTTATTTATTTATTTGACAGACACAGCGAGAGGGGGAACACAAACAGGGGGAGTGGGAGAGGGAGAAGCAGGCTTCCCGCCCAGCAGGGAGCCCGATGTGGGTCTCGATCCCAGGACCGTGAGATCATGAGCTGAGCCAAAGACAGACGATCAACGCCTGTGCCCCACCGGGGCGCTCTTCCTTTCCTGGGTTAGTGGTCCACCGTGCGTACACCGTGGTTTGTGTATCCGTTCATCCAGTGGTGTGGACACGGGTTGTGTCTGTCTTTCTGCTGCTGTGAACATAGCTGTGCATGTGTCTTCAGGACGCTGCTTGGGAATTTTGGAGCTGTGTGCCCAGTGCCAGAACTCCCGGATCGTGCAGTCATCCTCTTTGTAATTCCTCAAGGAGCCCCCGTACTCTTTTCCATGGGAGCGATAGCGCATTGGATCCCCATCCATGGTGCACAGGGACCCGGGGCCTCCTCACCAACACTTAGTGTGACCTGACTTTTTGGTAGTAAGCATCCTGATGAGAGATGGTATCTCGTGGTGGTTTTGATTTACGTTTCCATAGTGATTAGTGATGCTGAGTGTCTCGTCATGAGCCCGTTGGCCATTTGAACAGTCTCTTTTCTTCAGAGAAATGTTCATTGCCTTTTTTGAATCCCTGCATTCTCTTTTATGTTTAAAGCAGAAGATCTTCAGATGTGGTCTGCAGACCCGTAGGGGCTCTTAAAATTCTTTGAAGGGACCCTGAGGTCAAAACTACTTCTGTGGTCGTGAGCTGGTAATGGGGCTGACCGCCACACACTCAGGGTTCAGTGACAGCAGTTTCGCGTAATGATGTCTCTAAGAGAACAGTAAGAGTTATAATTAAATTTTACATTTGAGTGCAGGTTTTCTAAAAAAAAAACTTGAGGTATAATATCCATGCCCTAAAACTCATGTTTTAAGCATACAATTTAATAACTTTTATTAAATTTACCAAGTTGTGTGGCCGTCACCACAGTCCAGTTGTAGAGCATGTCCATGGCCCCAGGAAGACCCCGCAGTGCTGGTCTTTCCCACATTCCGCATGACGAGATGGGGGCGCCCCCGGAGCCCCTCTTCCGCCCAGGGAGGCATGGTCGCGTCTCCAGGAGGCTGTGAGGCTTGTGCTGTGAGCGGGGACCGCTGCGGTGACACAGAACACAGTGTCCTCTGAAACAAATTGAGCCTGCCACCTGCGGTAGAGCAGCTGCCAGTATCTTTGGCTAAGCTGGAGCTTCAGGCTCTTACGTGAAAGTCAGGATTTTGGAGGGCCTGACTGTCCACCTGCGGTGCTTGATGACTTTTCCGAGTGACCAGTGCGTGGCGTCACAGAGTCACACCCGCGCAGGAGGCCCGCTTGCAGCGCAAGGTGGACCAGCGGGCATCAGCGCCACAGTCGGAAACATTCAGCACAAGGGTTCCAGGCCCCGCGCGGCCGCTAACGGCAGCCCTGCTGCGCCTCGGCGTGAGGCTGGCTTCCCCTTCACCTGCTCCAGCCAAACCAGCCATCCCGGTGAACTGAAAGCAGAAGGCGACGAGAGCACTGCTGTCCCATGTCCCTGTCAGCTGGAGAGGTTTGCAAAAAAGCAGGGAAGGCTGCTTGTGTCACTAAGTATTTTTAAAAGTTTTCACGAGTATTTATGTTACTGTATTGTCAGCATAAGTTACACGTGGCACGTGCTGTGTCTTTTTAAACTTTTTCAGTCTTAATGTCTATAGTAAATACCGATAGGTAGGACCCATTTGTGACTCTTTGGGTTCCTAAGACTTAAACGTCAAAGAACTTCTGGTTTCAGGTCTGCCTCATTTACAGAGAAGCCGCCCACGCACTATTGGAATTCTTTCCCCGGTGCAGTGCAGGGTTTCCTTAGAGAAGTTACGGTTTTATCTCCGGTACCACGAGAGGGGACCGGTTGTCTGTGAAATGGGAAAGGAATGTGCTCCTTTATGTTCTCTCAGGAACTTGCCCGTGATGGTCCGCAGACTTGATGCTCGTTAGGACACACGTTTGTAGATTCTAGGTTGGTCCTTAATATTGGATGATTAGGTTTTTTCATATTCTGCCTTCCTTTCAGTGGTAATTTCTTAAAACCACGAAGCACTTTAAACCTCTTGACTTTTATAGTCCTGCTGTTTTCTGTTCTGAGTTACTCAGACTCCCAGAAGTGGGCCCACCGTGTCTTATTTAGAGATAACACTCGCAGACTCCCTCGCGACGCAGCGAGGCCCTGTAAACGGTGCGAGCGCTGCGCCGTACTGACCGCCAGGCCGAGCGACAGCGAGACGTGTTAACTCTCGTCGTGTGTCTGGACCCAGCGTGTGCACATGTGGCTTTCTTCTCCTGACGTTCCACGCTGCAGGAGAAGCCGGCTGGGTCCTTGATCTGTCAGGTGTGTGGTTGTGAGCGGTGGGCTACTGCCACACACAGACGTGGCTTTGGTGTCCATCGTCTCTGGGTGCAGTTCCTCTGATCACTGCAGAAGAGCCTCTAGGTTTTCTGCAAAGGTTGTGCCTGTCTCACTGGTCACGGGTGTGTGGGTACTGTGCACACAGTTCCCTTTTCATACATCTGTGGTTTAGTGAAGAGAAGCAGGGTCAACACGGCGTGTGGTATAAGCAGGGGAAACCGGGTGGGTTCATCGACTGACTGACTAACCCACCCCCAGCAAATTGCTCACTATCTCCGGCAGAAGGCCCTGGAAGCATGGAGACGTCGCTGAATCCCTTTTAGAGTATTTGGATGCATTTTTATGTTATTTTTATTTCTTACCTATAAATATTTCGTATATTTAAAATGACACTGTCCGCAGCGGCATACATGATGATAGAAAACAGTAGTTACTAAGATGCTGCCGTTCAGTTAAGAAACATGATCAGTGCCTTCGAAGCCACGTATATGCCAACATGAAGAATCTTGTCCCCTGTCCTGCCGCTGTGACCACGCTTCCATGTCTCCTTGTTCCCTGCTGGCTTGTGCCCAGGTCCCTGCCTGGGGTCCTCACATCATTAGGAACCTGTTTCTTCCCCTGGTCAGGGGCACAGTCCACATAAATTCTGTATTTGTGAAGCTTCCTTTGGAAGTAGAAGAACATACAGTTTTATAGCAAGATTTTTCCTCCATTTTCTAGAGAATATTTTTCCCTAAACAAAATGCTTTTTTAAATTATGAAAGTATTACTGACAGAGAGGATAGTAAAAGATAAAAGTCTTTTTACTATCCAACAGTTTGGGGTGTTTCTTTCCAGGCTTTTTTCTACACAGATAAAAATTCACTTTTTAAAAGGCTAGTGGATGGTTGGCTCCGTCGACAGAGTGTGCAAATCTTGATCTCGGGGTTTTGAGTTGAAGTCCTGCATCAGGTGTAGCGATGACTTAAAAATAAAATCATAAAAAAAATAGGGGCAGCTGGGTGGCTCAGATGGTTAAGCCTCTGCCTTTGGCTCAAGTCATGATCCCAGGGGCCTGGAATCGAGCCCTGCATTGGGCTCTCTGCTCAGCACGGAGCCTGCTTCTCCCTCTTCCTCTGCCATTCTCTCTGCTTGTGCTCTCTGGTTCTCTCTCTGTCAAATAAAATAAATAAAATCTTTAAAATTTAAATAAAATCATAAAAAAAAAAGAAGTCTGCCGGGAGCTCTCACGCTCCCTCGCCTGCGTGTGCCGGGCATCTGTGCTGGTGGTAGGTATTTGAAGACCTTCTGCCCGGAGCACGGCCTTCTTATATTTGCTGGCTAGGAGTCAAGACACGTCCAGCCAGGATCTTTGCACACCCAGGCGCACAGAGTGCACGAGGCCAAGCTCCTGTCACCCCACAACGTCTCAGGGGGCACAGGCTGCTGCTCTTGCCTCTGGCACTCCTGACTGATGTCTTCCCTTCGTCTTTTCTCCCCTGCCTGGTGGACCAAGAAAAGATCTTTTTTGTCTGTAGACTCGTTGGGTGATGTTTTGTTTTCATTTTGAAAATATTTTACATATGGGGCGCCTGGATAGCATCCCAACTCTTGGTTCCAGCTCACGTCAATGTCTCAGGGTTGTGAGATCGAGCCCTACACCGGGCTCCACGCTCAGCATGGGGTCTGCTTGGGCGTCTTTCCTCTCCCCTTCCCCTCCCCCCTGCTCCTCCCCTGCACACTTCCCCTCGCTCTCTCGCTCTCTAAAATAAGTAAAGTCTTTTCAGTAAAATATTTTATGTACAAAAAAGAACAGAGATTACCAAATACCCATTTATCTACCACCCAGGTACGTATGTTAGCTTAAAAAAGTTATGGGAACTCGGGGCTTAGGCTATTAATACTTTCCTGCACTTGCAGACTTTCTGCAGAAAGTCTCCGTTGGTCTTGTACCTGCCCAGCAGTGAGGGTGCCGGGCGAGCTCTGTGACACTTAGATAGGGAAGGGCTTGGCAGTGTTTGGAATCCCTTATGTACATGCGGGACTGCGTCCAGGGTCTGTTTTCAGTAAAGCTCTCTGCGACTCTGGGACCTGAACTCCTCGTAGTATAATGTTTTCTAACCTCTGGCTTAAGTGTGATTTCTCCAGTGCTCTTAAGAATTTTAAAAGTCATTTTTGCATTTCCAGAGAATTATTTTAAGCATACTTTATTTTGCATTCAATTCAGCTCAGTACGTTATTAGGTTGGTTTTAATCCAAGTTTAAATATTCATGATGCCTAAAAGGTAAATTTAGCCTTTTCCTAAATACCAAATGATTATTTCTCTTTAACTTACATTATACAAGGAAAAATGTGTTTTGTTGATAGAAACATTCAAGTGGACTATTACATTTAGAAGGGAATATATATTAAAAGATGGTTTAAAATTTAACTATGTGTGAACCCCTTGAAATGTTTTAAAAACATTTATTTATGCCATATTTGTGCTTATATGGACATTACATGTTTTAAAAATTAAATTTTATTTTTATTCATGTGTTTTATTTATTTATTTTTTGAAGTAATCTTTACACCCACCATGGGGCTCAAACTCCTGACCCTGCGATCAAGGTCACACGCTCCACGGCCTGAGCGGGAGTCCTCCCCACCATGTGAAATTTTTTGGAAGTGATTCCCTTACCGATTAAATTAAAACTTGGACTTCTTGCCTTCTGCTCTGAGAAGTCTAGTGGATTCCTTGAATAATCTTGGTGTTCTGTTACGGAATAATTCTAAAAGGCGACTTCATAAAATATTTTGTGTGAAGTGTGAACAGACGGGGAGTTACAGTCCTCCGCGTCTTGTGTCTCTCACGCATTTTTAAGCAGAGAGATACCCTGGAAGGGTTTGTGAGACTTCCGGTGGGAGAAGTGCCGGTGTACGGAACTGGTAGAGACGCCCTGAGCAGACGGGCAGGACTCCCGCGGTGACCGAGTGTTGGGGTCAGGCTGAGGATCTCGCACGCGCACCTCAGAGCCCTTCTGGGGGTGCCGCGTCCCCTGCACGGGAGACCGCCTCACAGAGCAGGGGCAGCCTGGGATCGTCTGGGGCGCTCTAGGACTTCGCTTTTCTTAGGGGGAGAGGAACTCTTCCCAGAGTGACTTAGGAGCGGGGTCCAGGTTCCTTGACCGCACGAGCCCCCCCCTCCCTTTCGGGGGCCCTTAGGTAGTCCTGCTCACGGAAGCTCCTCAGTCCGGGCTGTGGCCGCACACCTTCCAGCTGGCCTGCGCGGAACTTGTGCGTGTGTGGAGGTGGGGGCCGGGCAAGGCTGGTGGTGGCTCCGTTAACTGGGAGGAGTGGGCCCGGGCGGCCCAGCTCTGGCTCTGCCGCCACAGCCGCCTGCCATGGGGCCTGTCCGTGCTCAGGTACACACAGCCAGTGAGGTGGCGCGGGCTGCAGTGGGAGCCCTGGAGCACCCGCAGGTCGCCCCCCAGGCCCTCCAAGAGCTGCTGCTCCTGACACGGGCCCCAGGCTGCCGCTGCACGCACAGCGGGCTGGAGGCTGACCTGTGCGCCCTGGTTCTCTTCTCCCCTTCCTGACCTGGCTTTTGTCTCCATAGGGAACTGCACGTGGGGAATGAACTGTAGGTTTATACATCCCGGAGTCAACGACAAGGGCAACTATTCCTTAATCACCAAAGCCGAACCTTTCCCGCCTAACGGCGCCCCGCCTCTCGGACCTCACCCGCTGATGCCCGCCAACCCGTGGGTGCGTGAATCCCTTTCTCTAACTGCTAGCAGGTGGGACAGCTAAGCTCTCTGCATCTTCAGCTTGCAGCACGTTAGCAGCTTGTGTGAAAGGCACTTCTGTGACATCACACAGTCACTGAGTTGCCTTCCAGAGGCTTCCGTGTCTCCATGTGGAGGTAATCGTAGATTCAGGCCGGGCAGCGGGTCGGGCCAGGCTGAGGCCGGGGGAGCAGGTGCCATGCAGCTAGCTGATGCTCTTGCTGGGCTTTTTGCTCCCATTTCTGTATAAATTGTAAAGTTTTGCTTGCTTCTCAACTTCTCCCTTCTCATTTTTTAATAGGGTGGGCCAGTAGTTGATGAAATTTTGCCTCCACCCCCTCCAGAGCCCCCCACAGAGAGTGCCTGGGAACGAGGACTCCGGCACGCGAAGGAGGTAACCAGACAGCCCAAGAAGAAAATGCTAGCAGCGGTCCCTTGAGCCAAAGTAACATTTTTTGATTCAGAGACAAGGATTGAAAACCCAGTAAAGTCTCTGAAGCGAGGGTATATTTCTGTGATTTCTCTGTAGAGTTGTGAATGGAAACCGATGTCTGTCGATCTCTCCAAGGTGCGGGAGGTCACAGCACAGGCCCGCTGCCTTCCTGTGGCTTGGGCAGTAGTGGGCCCCACCCCGGCTAGTGCTGCAGCCCCCGGCTGTCCAGAGCCACTCCCCGGAGACTTAGCATAGGGGGCCTGTGCCTGCGGAGGAGCCGTCCTCTCCCGAGGAGGCCCGGTGCTCACGCACACCCTCCCCTCCTTCCCTGGTCTCTGGTTCCGGGCCATACCTTGGCCCCGGCTGTCTGTCAGCCTTGTGGTCTGTCGGCACCAGGCCTGCTTGCTGAGTCCCCACTTCTCTCGAGTGAGGTGACAGACTAAAAACCCTTCTCCTCCCTCGCCCAGCACACAACCCCCCGTCCTGCCTTTCCTCTGAGGCTGGAACCGCTTCATGTGGCTTTTCTGCCACAAGCGGCCTCCCCTTCCCCTCCACACGTGGGCCTCCTCCCCGAGTGACAGTCTGGGTTCCCCACCTCAGTGTGAGGACTGTTTCCAGGAGATGCCAGCTCTCTCACCCCTTTCTGGAACATGAGCGAGCTCTAGGGCACTGCCGAGCGGGCCTGTCCCAGCTGCCGGGTGCAGAGACGGCGCGCTCCTGACCTGGAGCAGGGGCGCGTCTCCCCCACCCGGCACGCGCTCGCGGGCCACTTCTGCCATGCTGGCCGGAGCTCCGTGGGTCACATCGGGACAGGCTGCCCTTTGCTTTTCCTGACAGTACCGGCATTAATGTCTTCCTTCTTATAATGGTAGGTTTTAAAAAAAGCAACCATTCGAAAAGAACAGGAGCCTGATTTCGAAGAGAAAAGGTTTACGGTGACCATTGGCGAAGACGAACGGGAGTTTGACAAGGAGAATGAAGTTTTTCGAGATTGGAATTACCGGATCACCAGAGATGTCCGAGACACAGTGTAAGGACCAGTTCCGCGTCTTCCTTTCCTTTCGATAGAGTATGCGCTGCTGCCAGCTGTGTGAGCCCCGGGCTCTGGAGAGCGGCAACACATTGGTTCCCTCAGGCATCGGGGGCCCATGCATGTCCCCTGTCCTGGACTGAGAATGGCGTCCCCAAGATCCTTTCGGACTCTTTGTATCCACTTTACTTGGTTTTTTGCTCTGGGAAGGAAGTGTGTCAGCCCGGGCAGGGCTGTGTGCCTGGGGAGGGCTCGGCTCCCTGCACGCTCTCTGAGCTCGGAGAACTTCTGCACCTGTTCTTGGAGCCCTGGTGGGGTAGGAGCCCTGCCTCTGCCCTGCCTCTGCCCGCCCTCCTCCCAGCACCCACGAGATTGTCACCAGAGTCCAGGAACTGGGCAGATGTGACCCTTTTCGTCTTCTCCTCCCCGATGTGCCACTGCTGGGCTCTCGGAGACTCACTCCCAAGGCGCACGTGTTCGAAAGCCCTGAGTCAGAATTGTAGGACTCGCGTAGCGTTAGGTAAAGCGCTCATCCGCCCGCGTTCGGTTCCCGGGGGGGCCGGCTGGGCTGTGCTCCGCTCGGAGGGGCAGGATCCGGCAGGTTTCCCCCGAGCAGCAGCCGCAGGGTGGGCCCAGCTCCCAGGCACGGTGCGGCATCCGGCTTCAGCCTCCTGTCAGGCTTGTATCGATGTGCATTCCCGTGTGCTGCAGGCAAGGGCCGGTCTCCAGGGCCTGGCTGGGCCGGCGGTGGTGGAGGCGGTGCAGAGGGGAGGGGCTCCTACGGCACTCATGCTTCGGGACCCCACCGCCCTGCCCCGCACCCGCCAGGCTGTCTCAGGGCCCTCCTGTCCCGTATGCAGAAAGGAAGGGGAGGAAGCTCTTCCGTCCTGCCTGTCATGGCAGGGAACAGCCCAGAGGTCAGTGGGTAGAGATTGAAAGATGGAGTTCAGACCTCTGTGTTCCTAATTCTGGGTATGGAGGTACCTTGATCGCGGACAGGAACACAGGAGTCAGGAGCGGTCTGCCAGGGCATGCGGCCCCGTCCCGTCCCGAGCCCTCACGTTCTCCTTGTGTCGAAGGCGGGTGAGGATCTTGCCCTGCAGGGAGTGGGGGGAGGGGAGAGCCCTGGGAGCTCACGCGTGTGTACAGGGCACGGGACGAGCACGGGGCAGAGGGTGCTCCCTCGGTGTGGTCCTCTGGGCACTGAAAGAAGAGCTCTAGAACCTCAGGGTTCACCCCGACCCTGTTTCCCAGCCCTGGCTGGAGCTGGAGCTCTGAAGAGGGTCTTCAAGCCAGGTGCTCACCGCTGTTGGCCATCTGGACATCGGTGCCTTAGCATGAACTGGGGGCTTCTGTGACACGCGTGTGCTGGGCCCCGACCAGACCTTGTCAGTGAGGACCTCTGGGAACGGTCCTGGCGTGGGTCAGGTGGGAAGCCACCTCTGCTGTGTCGGCTGGGGTCCACTAAGCAGAGGAGACGCCCCCCCGACGGGGGTATTTTAATGGAGAGCATTTAACGGAAAGACCGGCCATCCAGGAAGCCTGGACGCAGCGTCCTTACCCCTGCAGGGAGGGAGGGGAGAGGCTGGAGGAGGCAGTAGGACTCCGGTCACTGAGGAGGGGACGCTGGCCAGCCACACTGACGTCTCTGGGGCGGGCAAGGAGGCCGGGCTGCAGGAGTGGTGCGGGCGGTGGGCAGGGCGAGGACGCAGAGGGCCCTTCACCGCGGCCTCCCCAGCCCCCGTGGCACGTGCCGGGCTCTCCGGAGCAGCTGGCAGAAGGGAAGGCACGTGACAGCGCGCGGGGCGGCGGGGCCACCGGGCAGGTGACTTCACGGCAGTTCCAGGGCATCCGTGGAGAGCTCAGAAAGCCCAGCATGACCGGCTCTCCTTTCCCGGGCGCCCGCGGCTGAGGTGCTCCTCAGCCAGCAGCGCAACAGCCCCGTGACCAAGGTCCCTACGCGTGCCGGGCAGGAAAGGAGGGAACAGGGCCGAGGGCTGAGCTCGGGGCTGCCTGCGGGACCAGCAGCGCACCTGGGCGGGGGTTGTCAGAAACGCCCGTGTCAGGGTGCCCGGGCCTGGGGGTGTCCCGCCGGCTCCTGCCAAGCCTTGCGGCTGATTCTGCCGCCCTCCCCCGAGCTCCCAGGCCACGGACGCCCATTCCCGGGGCCTGGGCTGCCCGGCCCGCCGCTGGCTGTGCGCGTGGAGAGCTGAGTCGCGGTCATGCGGGGGCGTTGGTGGCCTCAGTGCGGGCAGCTCCGGCCCCGCAGGGGTGCGCGCCAGGAGGAGGCTCTGAGGCTGCGGAAAGGGCAGGAAACGGGTGTTTTCTTCACTCTGGTATCGGAATGAATGTGTCTAACAGGGTCAGCTGGTAAAAACAGCGCTTTCCTAGACAGACCCCGGGTGGTGACGGGATGAGTTTCTTCCCACCGCTGCGACGCTGGGTTCCGACGCCGGCCAGCCCGCGGGACCTCGCGCAGCCGACGGGAAGGCCTGTCCCCTCCGCCGGGGAGCCCCCTGTCTTCATCTCGGCGTCAGGGGGTCAGGCCCCACGGCGGGCGTGGAGGCTGTTTCAGAAAGGAGCGAGGGAGGCCAGAGGAGCGTCTCTGCCCTGCAGCCGGGCCAGCGGGGAGCAGGGGCGCGGTGCCGGGCCCACCGGAGGAGGGGGCTGGCACACGGGCCCAGGGTTCCACCGCGAGGAAACGGGTCCTTGGCAGGAGCTGATGGCCACAGTACCGCTCAGCAGTCAGGGGCCTGGGCTGGAGCCCTTCCCGGGGTGCGTCCTCCGAGCCGCTGTCGCCCGGGGACCGGGGCCCTGACGGCCTGCCCCTCTGGCGCCGAGCAGTCCCGCAGGACCGGGGCCACATGCACGCTGCTGACCCCGCTTTCCAAACACGAATCGGCCAGAACAGCCCTCCTTAGAGAGCACGCACACCCTCACGCCCGCCCGGGGATGTACTCGCTAGGGCCTCGGCGGGCTGCGATGGGGCTGTCACCGCGGGGCCTGCGTCCCGGCCTTGGCCGCACCCAGCTTTCGTCTTCAAGCTGACGTGGGTCACATGCGGCTTAGGCGCTTTGGAAGACGTCTGGCTGCTTGGAACGAAAGAGCTTTGTCATCCCCAGAGCCAGCCTTGGGGGCGTCTGCTGGGTCCCAGGGAGCCGGGGGAGAGGCCTCCCAGAAAGCAGCCTCCTCGCTGGAGGCCATCAAGCAGGGGCCTTGAGGGCTACCCCGAGCGGCAGGTCTCTGGGTTGCAGGTGCCTCGGTACCCCCCGCCACCTTACTCAAAGGGGAGAGTTGGCCTGGAGCCAAGAAATCCCTGGCAGAGCGCCCGTCTGTTGCTGGGTCTACATTTCCTCGTTCCTCCATTGGGGTCCCAGGCACCCCCAGAGCGGGTCCTCTGGGTCTCCTCACCCTCCCAGTGGTTAGCAGTGGTCCCTTCCCCATCGATGACGAGTCTGCCTCGTCCCTGTGGGAGGCTCTTCTATCCTCCCTGCTGGGGTCTGTCTCTGGGCTTCCCGTCACATTCCCGTGGGCCATTCCTTTCCTCCCCAGAAAGGCCTCCTAACGTGGTGTCCCAGAGGGCGCGTGTTTCTTGGCTAATCTCCCTGGCCTGTCTCGCAGCGCACCCGGGCCAGCTCGTCTAGCTCACGCAGCGGCTCGCTGCTGTGTGTACTGGGAGGGCCCTGCGTCTGGGACATAAACGACAGGTAGCTGACTTCTTGGTAGTGTCTAGTCGTCCCGCCGAACACAGGGAACATCGTCTCATTTATTCACACGTGTTTTTGTGTCTTTCCAATGTTTTCTGTGTGCGTTTGTTTTAATTTTAGGTAGTTAACATACAGTGCAATATTGATTTCTGGAGGAAAAATCAGTGATTTGCCCCTTCCATACAACACCCAGCACTCACCCTAACAGACGCCCTCCTCAGTGCCCGTTCCCTGCCAGCCCCAGCCTCCCCAAACCACCCTCTGCCTTCCTCAGTTCGTTCCCTGTTAAGAGTCTCTCATGGTTTGTGTCCCTCTCCAATGTCATCTTACGTTATTTAGCCCTGCCTTCCCTTTGATCCTCTGTTTCGTTTCTTAAATTCCCCATGCAAGTGAAATCATCCACATGAGTGAGATCGTATGATAATTGTCTTTCTCCGACTTACTTCACTTAGCATAATAGCCTCTAGTTCCGTCCTCATCATTGCAACTGGCAAGATTTTGTTTTGCGACGGCTGAGTAAAATCCCTTTGTGTGTATACCCCACATCTTCTGTATCCCTTCGTCTGCCGATGGACACCTGGGCTATTCCCATAGTTTGGCTGTTGTCGATAAAGCTGCTGTAAACATTAGGGTGCACATGTCCCCTGGAATCTGTATCTCTGTATCCTTTGGGTGAATAGCGGTTAGTGCAGGTGCCGGGTCATTGGGGAGCTCTAGTGTCAACGTCGTGAGGACCCTCCACGCTGTATCCCGGAGCGGCTGCCCCAGCTCGCACTCCCACCAACAGTGCAAGATGCCGGTGGTGTTTTGGTACGGATTGCATGGACTGTGTCGGTATTGTATTTATGTGTTTATTTTTAAGATTTTATTCATTTGAGAGAGAGAGAAAGAGAAAGAGCGAGAGAGAGCACAAGCGGAGCCAGGAGAGGGAGAAGCAGGCTCCCTGCTGAGCAGGGAGCCTGATGCATCCCTGGACCTCAGGATCATGACCTGAGCCAAAGGCAGACGCTTCGGTGACTGGGCGACCTGGGCTCTCTGTATGTGTACGTATTTTAACTGTGTTTGCTCTTCCAATCCGTGAGCGTGGAACATTTTTCCGTTTCTTTATGTGCTCTCGAGAGTGTTGTGAAGTTTTCCTGACACACGTTCTGCTTGTTTCTGGTTACCATGCTTTGTCCCGCAGCACCGTCCGTCTCACTGACAGTCGCAAACGTAGACTGGTCTGCTCGGCCTCCCGGGCGGTGCTGATCTGGTCTCAGTCTGCCTCACTGGGCTCCTCTGGCTGCTTGCGTTGGCTTTACTGTGTCTCAGTTTCCGGGTGTGGATCCTGCTCCTTCTTGCCGGGTCTGCTGCCTCCTGGTTGCGGCGGCCGGGCCCCTGTCCCGCCGGTGGGTGCTCAGGAAGGCTGTGGCCTGGCCTTAGAGAAGTGCCCGTCTGTTCCCGTTGAGTAAGAGGTTGCTTGAGTCCACGGTGGACACGTGTGTGCAGCCATGCCCGGAAAGCGCCACCGCCACTTCCTTTCAAGACTGCCACCGGGGGTGGGCCCTCTCGTCCCAGACGCTGCCGCCAGCCGTCGGTGCCGTCCCGTGGTTTTTCTCTCTCAGCCTGTCGCGATGTGTGGTATAGGCAGGAATTTCCTCGTGTTCACTCAGCCTCGCACTCCTGGAATAAATGCCCTGAGTCACGGCCCGTTCTCTTTACGTGGTGTCGGATTCCGTTGGCCGACATTTTATGTCGTGTTCTGGCGTTCATATTCCCAAGTGGTGAGGTTTGTTTTCTGGGCTCTGTTTTCAGACTCGAGCCTTACGCGGACCCGTATTACGACTACGACATCGAGCGCTTCTGGCGCGGCGGGCACTACGAGAACTTCCGGGTGCAGTACACGGAGACGGAGCCGTACCATAACTACCGGGTGAGTGGGCCGCGCGGCTCCTCGGCGAGCCCTCCGCGCTGTGTGGGACTTCGGACGGGCCTCGTCGTGCTGGCCCAGTGGACCAGCTTCAAGCCCGGATTAACCCTCTGTGGAGAAGCAGATCAGATCCAGAGATTAAATGGGAGGTGGTCTGCAGACAGACTTCCTTTAGTTTGTGTTCCTGCTGTGGTGTGAAATTTCAAATTTTGAAAATTAGGTTTGTGGATAGGGTTATTCATGTTGATATAAGCCGGCATGGGGGTGTGTTCCACGCTCCCGAACAAATTCCTCCTTCAGGCTCCTTAATAGTACCGTTTGTAACTGTGCTGTCCTCCTCCGTTGGCGTAACCTGGGCCTCTCCCCAGCTGTGCTGTGGTGGTCTCCTGGAAGACCATTCTGTGTTGGTATTTTCGATGGATGGACGTTTCAGTCTTTGAGTCCCTCATGTTTTCAGAGTGATGGGACAGCTGCCGCTTAGCAGAGGTCGGGTGGGAGCAGTAGGCTGGTCTTTGTGATGGAGTTTTGAGGACAAAGGGTGGTGACTTCCTCGGAACCCACAGATGGTGGGACCGTGGTCGACCATCCTGTGCTGCTCTCCCTGGTAGCATGTCCGTGGGGCCAGGCTGCCGGGGCACAGTGTGCATGCCAGGCAGGGCAGCCTGGAAGGTCAGTAAGTCCTGTTAGAGTCCCTTTCCGCCTCCTCTCTCCCTTACCATGTCCATGATTTGGGCCAGGGGAAAGGCAGACACGTGCTTCATTTCCTCCCACAGCCTCCTGGAGCCTGAAACCCATCTTCCTGCTGTGATTCGGGCGTTATCGTTTTAACTTTGACTATTAGCGCACGTGGATGGATGAGTGCAGACTGCTAGTTCAGAAAGGCGTTGAAGGGTTGTGCTTAGGAAAGCAAGGGCCAGAGCCCCACTTTGGGGCACCCCCTCTGTACCAGACTCCCCTGAGCAGAATGCTTCGGGCCGAGCCCACCGGAGGCCTTGCTGGGTCATGTCCAGCCCCCGCTGGAAGGGCTGAGGCGGGAGGCAGGTAGTGTTGAGCCGCCAGCTTGGGGCCCAAGCTGGAATCCAGCTCCCCGCGTAACGCTGTGTTTTAAGGAGAAACGGGAACGGAGTGAGCACTTGAGGTCGATCCCCGCGACCTCGGTGCCAGGCACCACCCAGCACGTGCGTTTGGCTTTAGGACCGGGAGCGCGAGCGGGAGCGCGAGAACCGACAGCGGGAGCGCGAGCGGGAGCGGGAGCGGGACCGAGAGCGGGAGCGCCGGCAGCGGGAGCGAGAGCGGGAGCGAGAGCGGGAGCGGGACAAGGAGCGGCAGCGGAGGAAGGAGGAGTGGGAGAGAGAGCGAGCCAAGCGGGACGAGAAGGACCGGCAGCACAGAGACCGTGACCGCGAGAAGGAGCGCGAGAAGGAGAAGGAGAAGCCGAAGCCCCGTTCCCCGCAGCCGCCAAGGTAGGCCATCTGCCCCGTGGGCTCTGGGTTCGTGGCCCCGGGCCCGGAGAGGAAGGGGCTCGCCAGCTGCTCACGGGTCCTGTCTGCTGGCCGTAGCCCCGCGCCCACAATCGTTGCTGAGAAATGCTGGTGTGTTTTGAGGGGCGGGTGTGTGACGGTGGGAGCACACGCCAGGTGCTCCTTCTCGTCGCCCTAAATCGGGAAAGTTGTGAATTCCCAGTGCCCCTGCTCTGGCAGCGAGGGTAGGAGGTTGCTGGCCACCGTGTGGGCTCTCGTGTCCGCCGGTGGAGGGCAGTCTCCGGGCAGCCCTTCTCTGGGTGCTCGCCTTGGTGCTCTGTGCCAGGAGAGCTGCCAGGGAGACCGCAGGGTGGGCGCCGACGGCACGCAGCACAGCAGCGGCCCGAGAGGCTGGGCAAGTTCTGGGCCTTCATACAGCCCTTGTTTAAAGTACACACGGGGCACCAGGGTGTCCCTTGTCGGCTGGTGATTGCGGCTCAGGTCGTGGTCTCGCAGTCTTGGAATCAAGCGCCACGTCGGGCTCTGTGTTCAGTGTCTGCTTCAGAGTCTGCTTGAGGTTTTTCTCTCTCCCTCTGCCCCTCCCACTACTTGCTCCCTCTTTCTTTCTCTCTCTCTAAGATGAATGTATCTTTGAAAAATAAATAAAATACGTCCATATGTATATTTGAGTACTAGAGCGGGCAGGTGATCCTCAGAAGATCATGGAACTGGAGAAGTTTTGTCTGTGTTTGCGGCCTCATGAGAGGACGTGTGCACGCCCCGCAGCACGTCTCTTGGAAGCGGGCAAGGGCAGCGGCGTGTAGGACGCTCGGCACGGAGGCGCTGGGCTCATTCCCCCCAGACGCCGTCCGCCCCAGCAGCAGCAGCCCACTTTCTGTCCGTAGGTTTGCTGCTGCTGGGCACTGCACACAGACGGGATCACACGTGCGGGCTTCTGTGATTGGCTCCTTTCACTTGGCAAGATGTTTTCCGAGGTTCACGTACCCTTACTTTGCTCCCTTTTGCGGCTGGCTGCTACCCTGTGGTGTGGGTGTGTGTGCACGGCCGTGTGTTTACCTGCTTGGCCGCGGACGGACACATAGTTGTTCCTGCCTTCTGGCTGTTGTGAACGTGAGTGTGGGAATTGTTCTCGCTTCCCTTGGGTATACAGCTCGGAGTGGAGCTGCTGGATCATAGGATCACTGTGTTTAACCTTCTGAGGAATTTCTAGAATCTTCCTAGATAGCTGCACCAGTCGACATTCCCACCGGGAACGCGTGAGGGTTCCAGTTTCCTCCAGGCGATTCATCATCGTCGCCTTCGTTGTGGTGGTGGCTGTCCTGCGGGTGTGACCTGGCAGCTCACTGTGGCTTCATTTTCATTTCCCTGAGCCTCTTTTCATGTGCTTCTTGGTGTATGTTCTTTAGAGAAACGTCTGTTCAGATCCTTTTCCCCACTTCCTTATTTTGTTATTTGCTCACGGTCTTTATTTCTGAGTTGGATGTGTTCTGGGCACAAACCCCTTGTCCAGCATCCTCTTGCGCGTGCGCACCCCTCACTGTACTTGGCATTCTCAGTTTCGCCTTCTTGATGATGTGCATTTTTTCTTTTTTTTTTTTGAGGGAAAGCCTCTTTTTTTACATTTTTTCCAACTTTATTAGGCGCAGTTAACATGTGTTGACATGTGACATTGCACAAACTTAAAATACACAGTGTGATGCGTGGCCCTGCCTCCGTGCTGCAGAATGGCCTCCGCTGTCCGTCCGCACCGGCACCACTGCCGTGCGTGGGGAGAACACGTCAGATCTACCGTCGTGGCAGCTTTCACGTGCACAAGACAGAATCCCTCGCTGCAGCCCCTGTGGCTACACTAGATCCCCAGACTCAGTCCTGTTCTGACTGGAAGTGGGAGCAGCTCCCCATGTCCGGCAGCCCCAGCCCGTGGCACCCGCCCTTCTGCTGTCGGTCTCCATGAGCTCGGCTCTGATAGGCTCCTCATAGAAGGGGCGCCTCGGTGTCTCAGTCATTCAGCACCTGCCCACGGGTCGGGTTGCGATCCCAGCGTCTTGGGATCAAGCATTGGGCTCCTTGATCGACAGGAAGCCTGCTTCTCCCTCTCCCATTCCCCTGCTTTCTTCCCTCTCCTGCTCTCTCTCTCTCTGTGAAATAAATAAATAAGTACTCTTTAAGGAAAAAAAAAGGATTCCACGTGTAAGTGAGCAGGCACAGTGAGAACAGAGAGGCTTTCTTTGTCTGACTTACTCAGTTAGCCCACTTCTCGGTCGCCATCGGAGTCCTCACCGAGGGCGGGACAGCCTCCTTTCCGTGGCTGAGCCGTACCCCTCATGCGGTCCATCCACATTTCCTTGATCCGTGTGTCCAGCCGCGGGCTCCTGTTGAGAAGATTGCTGAGGCGAGCGGGCGAGTGCAGACATCTCTTTCTGTTCTCATTTCCTTTGGACGTTTAGCTAGAAGTGGGGGTTCGGTCATGGCCGGCTGCCCTTTCCTTCACCCTCACTGACATGGTGACCAGCTCTGCTTTGGATTTCGGCCACTTGAAGAGGTGGGGCGTGATACCTCATTGTGGGTTTGACCTGCGTGTCCCTGATAATTAGAGGTGTTGAGCATGTTTTCACGGACCTGTTAGCCATCTGGATGTCCTCTTTTACAGAATGTCTGGTCAGGAAATGGCCCATTTTAAGTCCGATTTCTTTTGGCTGTTGAGTTGTACGAATTTCTTGCATAGTTTCTGTGTTAATCCCTTATCTGGTAGATGGTTTGTACATATTTTTTCTCATTCTTGTAGGTTGTCTTTTCATTTTATTATTATTTTTTCTGTGCAAAAGCTTTTTAGTTGAATGTGGTCCTGCTTATTAATTTATTTTTCCATATCTATTTTTTATTTAAGTTCCATTAATTAACGCGTTTTGTATTACTAGTTTCGGGGTAGAGTGCAGTGATCACACTTACTTATGTTTTATCTTGTTTCTTGCGCTGCAGACGTCCTGACCAGACAGACATCACGGAGATGCATATCAAGGAGCTTTTGTTCCTGTTTTCTTCTAGGAACTTCATGGTTTTGGGTCGTCTCACCATTTTGAGTCTTTAGTCCACCTGGAGTTATCTGTGGCGCAGTGTGAGATGGGGTCCAGTTTCATTCTGCCTGTGGCTGTCCAGTGTCCCCGACACCATTCATTGAGGGGACTGCCCTTACCCGTTGCATGTTCTTGCCTTCTGTGTCGTGATGGGCTGTGTATGTGTGGGTTTCTTTCTGGGCTTTCATTTCTGTTCCATTGCCCTGTGTCTCTTCTTGATTTTTAGTTTTTGGGTTTTTGTACATAACCTCTACACCCAGCATGGGGCTTGAACTCACGACTCTGAGACCAAGAGTCCTGCACTCTGTGGGCTGAGCCCGCTAGGCGCCCTGATCTGTGGCAGTTTTTACGCGATACCGTGCAGTTGGGATGACTCAGACTTAGTGATGCAGTCTGAGATCGGGAAGCCTGATGCCTCCAGCTTTGTTCTTGCTCTGGCTCTTTGGCTCTTTGGGGTCTTTGTGGTTCCACGTAAATTGTACGATTGTTGCTTCTGTTTCTAAAGAAAAGTATCATTGGAATTTTGATAGGGATTGCATCGGATCTGTAGATGGCTTTGGGTACTAGGGGACATTTTTGTAGTATCCTTTCTTCCAGTCCATGAACATGGGATATATGTCCCTTTATCTGTGTGGTCTTCAGTTTCTTCCATTAATGTCTTGTAATTTTCAGTATCTATCTCTTTCACCCCCTTGGCTCAATTTATTTCTATGTACTTTTTTTTTTAAGATTTTTATGTATTTTTCAGATTTTTATGCCAAGAGCATGAGTAGGGAGGGGAGGGGCAGAGGGAGAGGGAGAAGCAGACTTCCACTGAGCAGAGAGCCTGATGCAGGGCTTGATCCCAGGACCCTGGGGATCAGGACCTGAGTGGAAGGCAGACACTTACCCATCTCAGCCACCCAGGCACCCCCAATGTATTTTTTTTTTTTTAAGATTTTATTTGTTGGGGCGCCTAGGTGGCTCAGCGGGTTAAAGCCTCTGCCTTCAACTCGGATCATGATCCCAGAGTCCTGGGATCAAGCCCCACATCAGGCTCTCTGCTCTGCGGGGAGCCAGCTTCCCCCTCTCTCTCTGCCTGCCTCTCTGCCTACTTGTGATCTCTGTCAAATAAATAAATAAAATCTTTAAAAAAAAAAAAAAAGATTTTATTTGTCAGAGAGAGCACTGGCAGGCAGAGGCAGAGGGAGAAGCAGCCTCCCTGCCGAGCAAGGAGCCTAATGTGGGACTTAATCCCAGGACGCTGGGATCATGACCCAAGCTGAAGGCAGCCGCTTAAGGGACTGAGCGGCCCAGGTGTCCCCCAGTGTACTGTCTTTGATGCGGTTGTTAATGAGATTGTTTCCTTTGTTGTTTTTTTCAGGTTGTTAGTGTATAAGAATGCAACAGATTTTTTTTTTTTTTTGTAATGTTGACTTTGTATCCTTTGTTTCCTTTGTACCGAATTCATTTATTAGTTACAGTTTTTTGGTGGATGAAGCCAGGCTCCTGTTCTCTCTGCTCAGACCAGCCCCTTTCTTGTGCAGCTCTGTTTCTGGCAGGAAGCCGCAGGGTGCTTAGTCTTTGTGAGCACCGGTTTTCACTCTTCTCTTCCTCTGGATCGTGATAAATTGTCCTCAGTAATTTGCTGTATTTTCTCATACTTTCCTAACATTGGGCAAAATAATGTTTTTAAAGAACATTCAGTGATCGCATATTCTGGATGCACTGAGACTGCTCCATCTTCAACAGCTTTATGACCGTCGGGCTGCGGCGGCCGCTCTTTGCACTGTCCTGAAGGTGTGACCGCGTGCGAACGACGGCGCTTGATCTCGCCTTCCTGGCGTTGGGCCATTGAAGCCCTGTTTTGATAGAAGCCCTTTACCCCAAGATGCGCAGGACAAGTCCTGTGAGGGCTCCACGGTGGGG